TAGGATTAACGCAATGAGACAAAATATAAAAATATATAAAGGGAAATAAATTATTTTCTGGGACCTTTCTTTACCTGTTCCCAGTAAAATCCTCTGTTCTGGGACCAGGCCATATCATTTATTAAAATTCGAACTGCTGCCATTTTGAGAACGTCAAACTTGGCTTACTTGGCCCTACTATGATTAAAATGGGTGCAGCTTTGCTTTATACATTTGATCAAGTTTGGTGCATTTCAGAATGATCAAGAGCAGGTTTAGTAAAATAAATGTCAGAGTATCATTTCTGTAAGGCTGATTCCCCGCCCCCAATTTCAAGTTTGATTAGATGGATTATATCTCTTTATTACTCAGTCTGTCCTGATGGGGACAGACGTCTCTCAACAGAGCCATAGAACCTCATGTTTGTTCAGTTTGGCTCGTTAGTTGTGGAGGTTTTACTGACAGAAGAAAAATAGGACTTAAGAACTTGAGGGAGGGATTGACTGAAACAATAGTAAGACCCGGAATTTGATTAAATGTAGTCCACTATGTTCAGCCAGACAGCTGCTGTTGTGTCTCCTGAATTAATGGGTTCCAGACTGCTTAATTTGTCTACTTTGTTTGTATAAGGGGGGTTTTTCACATTACAAAATACAGAAACCTAAAAATCTGTGACTTACCAACCAGTGACTTATCTATTTAAATACTGAGATTTTAAGGAAGATATGCTATGGCTAAATGGACCTGCAAAGGCTCACCAAGAAATCATATGCAGTCATAGTGTAAAGGTGCACATAAAATAATTAGCCTGTCTCTGGCAGTTTTTACATGGTTATCGCTACATTCAAGAACCCAAAAAACTTCAGACACACACATTTAGTGAAACTGAACAAAAGCTAAAACTGTGTAAAAATGCTATTTCTATGTTTTAGCTAATGTTTTTCACTCACCTGGTTCCTGACTCTGACTTTTCTGAGGTTGGCATTAATCTCAGTTGGGAATGGGCACTCGGACAGCTGTGGACACTGTGGAAAAGTAGTCCCTGTTACTTTATTCACGCTTTATGGAATTTAGGTGGTGCAATTTTAAGCCTCACTGTTAGCTGCTGTGATGTCAGCTGTAAGAGAGGGTGAAGTGCTACGCTGTCAACTAAAGCTAGCAAGCTTTGTTAGCAGGTTTCATCAATAAACTGTACAGGTGTGGTGCACAGACACAAAGGTAATAGTAACTGACAGGCTAATAAAATACCAGAAAGTGAGTTTTGAATACTGAAAGTGAGCTTGCAGTGCCTCTCAAGCAACATTAAGCAGCGTTGAAGGCATAAACATTGTTTTAGAGGGTGTAAAATAGTGTCAAATTTTAACATAGGATTCTATGGGCCCCAGGTGCCATCAGAAGAGCAGTTTCGCATTAATCACTGCGTCATTTCATGCTGCATTCCTCTAGCAAAATATTATATCTGGCGCTAAGATGATACATGAAATTATAAGAGAAGGTGGTGGAAACGCTAATAACTAAGATCTGATTAGTGCCACAACTAGACTTTTTAAATAGTACATCGTATGTTTAAAGAAAAGTGTACTTAGATGTATTACGTAGCATCATGTCTTTGCAGTACTAACTGCTTTTCATCCCTAATAACAGCAAGCTGCAGATGAAGTTCACTTATTGTATAGTGTAAGAGGAGTGAATTTTATGCTTCCCAAGCAGCTGAACTACTTGGCATCATTGCTAAGAAGTGACTAATAATATTATGTAACTCTCGATGCAACGGTGACTGTGTTATTGTGGGTATCATCCAGGGACAGCTCAGCAGTATAACACAGGGACCTGAAATATTTGGCGGTTTTATATAGAAGTCCCTGATTTAGTGTTTCTTTTCCACGCTGATGGAGATATAAAAGGCTTAGTTTTTTTCTTTTTTTTTGACATTTCAGTTGCATGCATCGATTTGTTCCTGGTGTCCAAAACCACTGGTCCTGCTGTAATTACTATGCTTATTTTACTACATTCTTTAGGTTTATTTCATTACACCATGTCTGGCCGTGTTCAGCAAAATTCCCATTTTGTCGTTCCGCCAAATGTAGCACTTTATGCCCCAAGTGTCATCTTCTTTCATTAATCTTATTCCCAGTAATAGCTCTCCATGGACCTTGGCTTATCCTTCATGCTGTTAGTAATGTATCCTGATTGTCCTGGATTTTTTTCTCAAACTCTAGCACCCTGTGTATCTCATTAGCTTGGCAGACCACACAAACAACCAGCTCTCTCTACAGTACAGCAATTTGCAATGTAATGAACTGAGCGGAAGCTTTTAGTGAGTTTAATTTTACATATTTTTTTTTGTTGTGCAGTTTTTTTTTCTTAAACCAAAAATGGATGAAATGTCCTCTTATTTTGTCTTCATAGTCTAGTAACAAATTGCAAATGTTCACCCACTGAATATATTTCCAGACATACATGTTGTGATTAAATAAAAAAACAGGGGATGTGTTTGGACTAATCACGTCCTTTGTAATTTCAGGTACGGCTCGTCATTAATGAGAAGGGTCTTGTCTGTGAGGAGAGGGATGTGAGCTTACCACTGCAGGAGCACAAGGAGCCCTGGTTCATGAGGCTGAACCTGGGCGAGGAGGTGCCCGTCTTCCTCCATGGAGACACCATCATTAGTGACTACAACCAGATTATAGATTACATGGAGAAAACCTTTGTGGGAGGTAGGACAATGCTGTCTTTCTTTTCTCTTGTTTAAAGATGGCAGAGTCATTTCCATTTGCATATTTTCATTATTTTCATTCATGCTCCATTAGAGAAGCATTGCATAATTCATAGTTCAAAATAATCCCTATTTATCATGTATTATTAATCTGGTGCTTGCTGTGGCCATTCAGTTCTCCTGCTTACTGTCTGAAAAACACTGTTTTAGCTCCTTTTGCTCTCACTTTAAAACTTTCTTTTTATTGGCTTCCCTTCATAAACAAAAACAAAAGATTTTGGCAGTAGGTTGATTGGGCTTCTGTAGTCACTGCTAAAGCTTGAAGAAACATCCCCTCTCTCTGATGTCACACAGAGCTATGGGTAGAAAAAAATGCTTTTTCTCTCAGTGATAATCACTTACAAAGACCTTGTTATTTAAAACTGGCCATATGAGCATCCACCATGATAACAGTAACTATATAATAGAGGAATAAGGAAGCTGCATAGGTCCCACTTAACTTACAAGCATCCTTTCTATAGCAGGAAAAATCATCTTTACGCTGCACTGCAAAAAAACCCCCAAGTTCTTTTCATTTCCATATCTTCCTCATGGATCATTAATGGGTCTAGATGCTATTTGTCTGGACGTAGCTTTAGCCTCTCTATTTTATCTTGACATATTTATGTAGCCATCAAGTGCATGTTTGAGGCCCTTTTACAGAGATCTACTTTTTAAAGAGTCCACCAGAGAGAGAGTTGTTAACCAGTAAAATTTGTTATGTTTACTAGCTAATTGTACCAAGTTAGACTATAAAAATTGGTACTGTAGTATTCAAAGCCGGCTCATTGCATGTGTGCTGCACTCCTCGTTTTTGCATTAGTCCACCTATACCAGACTAATTCATCTCTCAAGCCCCCAACCGCCGCCTCGTGCTCTGCCAAAGGTTTGTGATCTGTAATCACCAATAAAGATGAGGATGAGTATTTGTAATTCTGATGTAAGCCACCTCTGTGAGTTACCAGCTGTACAGGTTAAGTGGGTGTAAAAACTGAAGGCAGCAAAAATTCCAGCAGAAGTTTAACCTAGCAGACAGAGATTGATTAGACATGTGGCATCTCAATTAGTGCTGCCACACCACTAACTGCAGTACTAAGATGAATCTGGTATAAAAATTTGACCCAGTTTAGAGCTTTTACGAAACTATTCATAGAGGCCAAAACTGCTTTTTGTATCAAGCTATAAACATATTTTAAAATGCTGTAAAGTCAGGCCTTTTAATATGAGAGTCTATTACGAAGAATTTGCATTTGGGGTCAACTTGGACATTTTAGAAACTTTAACTTTTGGCACTTGTATGTTGGCTTCATTTTTCACTCCTAGAGGCTGTTTGTTTGTTATAAACACAACCCAACCGGTCGCGGCAGATGGTTGATACTCCCTGAAGTCTTCAGCTGGAGGTTTGTTCCTGCTAAAAGGGAGTTTTTGCTCCCTACTGTCACCGCCTGCTTGCTCATAGGGGGGTTGTCTGATTGTTGTTGTTTTTTTTCTGAATTATTGTAGGGTCTTTAACGTACAAAGAAAGCACCTTGAGGCAATTGATGTTGTGATTTAAGAAAATGTAATAAAATTCACTTGAAATTAAAGCATATTGGCCCTATAAGGGGGCGGGATTTGCAACACAGGGGATTCTTCTTCTTCATCTCTCTCTTATATCTCTGACTAGAGCTATAGAAAATTTGAGGCCTCATTCGCCCAGTTTGTGAAGCTGGAGTGACAAAGACTGTTGGAAGCCATTGGAGGCCATCTGTTTTCTTTGTGCAGACTGTGTCAGTGCATACTATAATGTGAAACTGTAACTCATTGCATCAACGTCTTTGCACCAATGTCACTGAGACGATCCTTGCTGATTAGATTAGACAAAATTGGAGTGACCCCTTGGGGAACATTTGTGGCACTCACAAACGAGACACAGATATAAACACAAGAGACATAATTTAATGATTGAAACAAAAAGTCCATCAAAGCTATATTTAGAGAAGCGGCATCTGTAGCTGTGAAGTTGTGATGGGTATGGAGGAACGTACGCTGTGAGGTAATGACTGAGATTCAGACTCTTGAGCTTGAAAAGGAGGCAACTGAATTTCTTTACATGTTTGAAGACATTTTGAAGACATCTAAAAAGTTTCTTCAGTTCTAAAACAAGTGGCAGAGAGTCCCAGGTAATAAACCCTTAAAAGGTGTCCTGACCCTCTTGGATAAGAGGTTAAATGTGTTCAAAAACCTAGAGAAGGACAGTTGCCTTCTTTTTAGGCTCTCAAGACTGCCATGGCCTGGATGACTGAGAGCCTACACAGACATTCGGGCTTGGCAAACATGCAGCTCAAAGAATAAGCAAATGTTAAGAAGCATACACTGAATCCTGTTATCTGTGTTGTGCTGTAGTATCTGTAGGTGGCACGTTCTATAGGATTATCAGCTGAGAGATTATGTAACAAACTGGGAGCCTCAGATCAGAAAATGCCTGGGGACATAGGTCTGTAACTGAAAAACTTCATGGCTTTCCTGCTTAGTTAGTGCTCACATGTCTAGAGCAGCGCCTAGAGCTTTGAATTCAACAGCAGAAGATCTGGTTCACTGCTTGCTCAGTAATAAAAGGCTAGAGTGCATAAGCTGACCCCAGGGTCTGATGATCTCATTCGGCTAACTTCATTTTAGTCTTTTGATAGTGTGCTAATAACTTGTTTTGGAGCAAGTTAGTCATAGAGATATAAAATCATTCATCAGTCTCCAGTTATACTCTAATAATTTAGTTAAGCTGTTATTGTTGCATTTTTTGGTTTTCTTTATTTTGTCTACTGAATGTCAAACAAGTCTGATGCATGTTTTATCCAGAAGCTTTCATCCAGGAGTCAATTTGAGGGGATGAGTTACAGGCATGCTTTTTCTCTGCCTTTAAATCCCTAATGAATCCTGGCAACGTGGGCTGCAGCTGGTCTGCAAAGTGCAGATTTCTCAGAAACGGGAGGCATATGCAGTGTGGAGCAGTGCCAACAGTTTTACAGTGTTGTTGAGGCACAGCAGGGCAAAAGCTGTTTGCAAAAAGATGTCAATCATCGCCCGAGTTGTTCTTATATATTTGTCATGCTCATTGTGAACATGTATGAACTCAGTCGGGAAGTTGCTTGACAGTTTGCTGCTAATTTAATCTTTCCATCACCAGTGCTGCAGCAGACTTCCTGCAGAGAACCACTGCAGGGCATGCCCAGGTCAGCATGCAGGTCCAGAGACTGATTACTCAGCTCTCTGGAGCTCAGCCACGTGCAGCTCCACCCTCCTTCAGCTTCTCCTCATCGTCAAGCACCCATCTGATTATCTCTGTCTTGTCAGCGATGCCTTCCCTGCATGTGGCTGGCTGTGACCCTGCAGAAAGATAAAAGCTCCCTCTGTTCTGCACTTTCAGTACCGAATCTCAGCAGCAGGTCATTATGCTGAACACCATCGCTCCCAGCCAGGCGCTGCGCTGTCAGACACGAGAATTAGGGCAGCAAAATGTAAAAGCGGGATCTCTCTGAGGTAGTAAAAGTTGTTGGAAGTGTTTTTATGTGTGTTAAGGTGCAAACAGACTGTAGAGTTCATCTTATTATTTTTTCAAACCCACGTTGTGCAGCATAGTTAGAATAAACTGGACTTACAGCCTGAAAATGTGATGAAAGTATTTTGTTTTAATAAAGCTTATGTTTGCAGGCCATTTTAGATGTTTACAGTAGCTATAAGGATAGACAATATAAAACATTTTAATATGATAGCAGGCAGAAAAAATCCACTCTTAAATTCTGGTAACAAAATATTTGGCACATGTTGATAATCAGTCTTTAACAGGAAACAAAATCAACATGCCTCACGTGCTTCCCTGTCGCTGTGTGAGGAGGACCTGCCTGAGCTAAAGTCACTAAAAGAGAAAACTCTCCAAACAACTCGACTCCTCTTTGGGTCACAAGTTATTTTGGAGTCTCTGGGCTCTTTTTTTAATCCTCCAGGTTGGTGTTTTTTTTGCCATCATTAACTTAGTGTTTTAAAAACAGGTGTAAAAGAGAAAAACTACATACTCACGGGATATAATCATGAGTCTATTCTAGATTACCTTCATTTATGTTTATTCTGTGAACATAATTTATAAAACGGAGTTAATGTTTTATTCATTTTGACCTGACAGTAGCGACCGAGAGAATATAGTTACCAGGAACTGGAACCAAGGTCTTTTTGCAAGCAGAGTCCTGTATGCCTTTAAAAAGTATGTAGGCTTAAAGCATCTCCAAGTTGTCTTGGATGGAGAAGGTACCTCCATCTTTTATATTTTCTTAGCAACAAAGCCTTAATAAGCTGTTGGATGAAAACTTGATGAGAGTGAAATCCATCTTTTCTGCAACTGTCTGCAAGAAAGTCTATAATAATTCACGATCATAATAATAATAATAATAATAATAATAATAATAATAATGCAGCTTTTTTCTTGTAATGGCAGGTAAGCAGAACAGATTGAGTCAGTAGGCGGATGATGTAACAAAGTTATGGAGTCTAATTACAGTGTTATTGTTTAATTTGTGTTTTTGTTGATCTGGAACGGGAATTTAATCTCATGTGGTTATACCAGGGGTGGGCAACTCCAGGGTTCGAGGGCCGGTGTCCTGCAGGTTTTAGATGTCACCCCGGGTCTACACACCTGAATCAAATGATTAGTCCATTACCAGGCGCCTGGAGAACTTCAAGACATGTTGAGGAGGTAATTTAGCCATTTAAATCAGCGGTGTTTGACCAAGGACACATCTAAAACCTGCAGGACACCGTCACTTGAGGCCCGGGGTTGCCTACCTTTGGGTTATACCATAGTCTAGTGTTTTCACTCAACATAAATTGTTGTTGATCTTGTTGTTCCCTTCACCTGAAGGATGAACTGGTTAGATTTTGGTAATCAAGGTCACTGTGACCTCACCTCCAGCCCTAACATCTGTATCATTTCTGAAAGCTCAGTATGTCAGGAACACTTTCAGGGATTTTCTTTACATTTGGCACAAACATGTACTTGGGGGTGACGGGTGGTTTATTATAGTCCTCCACCTGTTACCAGGTTACCATGTTGTGTGTCTGACAGCTGAATCTGGCACAACTGTGTTATTCTGGGTTTGTGTGGTTGCTTAGAGACCTTGGGGGTTTTGGACAGATTAAGAAAAAGTCCAAAGAATAATGCTCTGCAGCATGTAATTATGATTCACTACATTTTGCCCAGTTTGTATTCCTGTAAAAATGTTTTCTCTTTTTCATGCTCTTGTCTTACTCACACAGACACAGTGGCTCAGCTGATCCCTGACGCAGACTCGCCTCTCTACGATCGTGTGCAGCAGTACCGTCAGCTACTGGATGGTCTGCCCATGGATGCGTACACACATGGCTGCATCCTTCATCCAGAGCTCACGACTGACTCTATGATCCCAAAGTACGCCACAGCAGAAATACGTAGTAAGTGAAGCCAGCTCACTGCACTGCGGAGGCACGAATGCTCGTATTTTAGCATCTTTGGGAATTACAAAACAGCTCGTGTTACTTAGAGAATGGTTTTTGGGTTGTTTATTTTGCAAACATAGTGTAAGGTCAATAGAAGAAATAAAGGATCCCTTTTAATCAAATGCATTTTTATTGTATTTTGAGATGTCTATAAACATTCCTATAGCTCTTGACAGTTAGATTGCCTCCCTGCTTTGTGAGTGCAGATTTGATTTTCTTGTGAATAACAAATTTATTCAGTGTTAGAAAAGTTCAGGTTCCTCCAATATTTAAGATGTAAGAAATAAGAAGCATTGTTTCAAATTTTCAAGTAAGTTTTTTATTTTTTGTTTTCACATCCGTTTTGATTCAGTTAATTTTAACAGATTAAGTAAATATCTTTACAACAGCAGTCCCCAACCCCCAGGCCTCGGACCGGTACTGGTCTGTGAGTCATTTGGTACTGGGCCGCGAGAGTTGAGGCTCAGGTGTGAAATGTATGGTTTTCAGGGTTTTTATTGGTTTTCAGCGTTATTTTGTTATCGTTTTGATCGTTAGCTCGGTTTTCCTGAGTTTTTTCACGTGTGTTATGAATAAATCTTTTTTTTTTTCGGTACCGGTACTAGTTTTATTTTGTTGTATTTATCTGCAACACCTTAAAGGCCGGTCCGTGAAAATATTGTCGGGCATAAACCGGTCCGTGGCGCAAAAACGGTTGGGGACCGCTGCTTTACAAGACAGTTGATAGCTAGATCAGCTGTTTTCATCTGTGTTACGTCAGCTGACCTTCTGCTGCTTCTGTAGCCACTTATTTAAAGGACAAACATACATCACAAAGACTGACCTGCATTTAATTCAGAACTATAGAAGAGGTAAATCTCAAGCTACATCCTGAAAGTTCACAAAGAGATTTAAAATAAACGAACAAAAACAAACAGGAAAGAAGTGCAGATTTAATGAAATGTGCAAATATAAATGGAAATACAGGATGTTGTTTGAGGTAAAAAACAACTCTATAACCGGAAAGTCAAAACCATCTTTATCTTCATTATGCTCTGTCGTCTCTGAAGCAAGCTTTTGTGTAATGTCTTGAAGTAATCGTCAGGAACAGTTCTTCAGGCTTCCCGAAGGAGATTCAAGTTCTTCTTAGGAGCTTCCTTTTCTTCCAATATCTGTCAAGATGATCCCATTACTTCAGTAACTTTAATCTGAAAAGAAAACATTTATCAAATTTGACTAAAGGACAGACTCAGCTCTCTGTCCATTCAGGTCAGTTATGTGAAAAAGCCAAAATAGCTTTAACCGACCAAACCTTTGTTCCCCAAAAAAGGTACAATATGAAGACTGTCTGATCTCCTCACGAAAAACTGAGCAAGACTTCAGGGTCTTTCCAGAAACAGGATGATTTGCAAATTTTAGCAATTGAGTCCACTCGAGTGTGTGTAGCACAAAGGCACGCAGTGTCCATAGAATCACAGTGTTCACTGACTCAGTTTAATTTAATGTGACAGAGGGCTCTGCTCCATTTCACAATGCATGTTCACACACGTTTAATATCTGAATAGATACATGTGGGTCTGCAGGTGTGTGTGTCTGTGTGTGTGGTGAGTTAATGATATATTTTTGTCCCTTTTGTTATTTCTAAGATATTACATTTATCAATTAATACAGAGTGAAAAGGTCAAATTA